AGACCTTCCTCATCTTCTCCCTCTTGACAATCTTGTCACTGCCTTCTCTTTTTCTCTATCTCCACAAGTTTTCTCACCGCAAGGAGGCACTCTTCCTCAATTTATGGTAACAAGTTTTACCCCTTATCTTCTAACACCCTTTTGTGCATGAAGATTCTATTAAGTGAATGCATCCATTCAATAAAGTTGTTTGGATTCATCCCTCCATCGAACTCTGATAGATCTACTTTGATGCTAAAATCCATGTGTCTTCCATATGTAGCCTCCTATCTCAGACTCCTCTGATATTAAATTCCAAAGCATCGAGGCTTGTCATCCTCATTAGCGAAGTCATCCCTATAGAAAGGATTTAGATCCTCATCCTTTTCTCCCCTTCAACTCTCCACAACACAATTGTGAGTAACTTCTCCTAGGTTCTATCATCCATCTATGCAAGCCTCTATCGAAGACAACGAGCTCTCGTTATATCTTTTCCCTAGTATGCTTAGGTCTGCATTGTGAAAGTGGAAAGGGTATTTGGTGGTAGGAAAAAGAAAAACTCTAAGATAGGACTAGGATTATGCTAGCTCTGATACCAATTGATACCAGAGTTAACTAAAATTACAATAGAAATGTAATTATTTTTTGAATTTAAGGAAAGTTAACAAAAAAACTCTCCTAACAATAAAAAAAATAACAACACAAAGATAAAGACACCCTAGGTCAAGGGCAGCGAATGGTGGGTTGCAGTTGATGAAGTGATATCAAAGGGTTCTAGGTGTGCGAAAAGGGGCTGGAAAGTAGGGATTGTGAGTACGAAGGTGCAAAGGACAAAAGGTTTTTTGCTTAGAGTAGGATGGTGTCGAATGGATAAGCAACAGTCGAGAGGTTAGCGGCTAGGAGTAAGAGAGTACAAGATGTAGGCAGTAAAAAGGAAAAGGGTAAGAGGTCGGTAGCTAAGAGCAAAGAGGGTGTGGAAAAGGTAGGCTATAGTAAGGTGTGTGTGTAAGGGATGCATGGGCCTTGCAAGAGACAGCAAAGTTGCTATACTTGGGACGGCTGTAACAGTTACGGTGATGATGATGGTGGAGGAAAGGTGTTCAAAGATGGAAAGTCAAGGATAATCAACGCCTCAGAGTGAGATACAGTCAAAGTACATGCCTCGGATATAACACTAGAAGGGAGAACTTGAGATACTGATGGCTATCGCGACAAAAAAAAAAACTAAACAAAAACTAACCCTAAAAAAGATAATTATATATATAAAATTTTTTATCACTCATATCTCAAAGCTTCACTTTGATAGGAGTAGACCTGATAAAATCATTTAGCAGGCTTATACTAATCAAAGTCTCACTAAAGCCATCTACTCCAAAATTTTCGGTTGGGATCAGGTGCCTTGGGGAGAAACTATCTGAAACAAATTCTTATCCCCCTCAATGTCTTTTTTCTGCTGGAGAACATTCCACAAGTTACTGCCCACTGATAACATTCTCAAGCTAAAAGGACCGAGGGGCCCTTCTAGATGTTGGTTGTGCATGGAGGAGGAAACCATTCCTCACTTCGCTTTTTAGCGCAGTTTTTTTCAGGCTGCCTGGATTGAACTCTTAGTTGAATCTAATTTTAACTGGGTACATTTCCACTCTTGTTAGCATAGCTGGAAAAATAGAAATTATGAATCCATCCCCTTGTTGGTTGCCTAGTTCCTCTGGATGTCCAGGAATCATGCCAAATTTGAGGGTAAAGCTTCCAATATTGCACAGGTGGTGAGAAATTGTGTTCCATTCCTTCAAAAACTGATCCAACATATAATGTTTCCTAAAATATGTACATCTTATCCCCCTGTGAGAGTGGCATTTCCTTTGATTAGTAAAGTGTATTGGAGGCCTCCTAAACCTTTCACAATCAAAGTGAACACTGATGGGAGTTTCTCAAACCTTGGTTCTGGTGTGGGAGGGGTTTATAGGAACCATTCTGGACAGTGTCTCTTATTCTTTCATGCCCCTATAATTGCTACTGATGCAATTGATACTGAGCTCATAGCTATCTTTTGGGCTATCAAGCTTGTTGTTAGGGCCAATTGGTCACACCTGTGGATTGAGGTGGACTCCACTGTGCTGATTCATTTGCTGGAGTATGAGGAGCAGTCCCCATGGCATCATACACACTAGATTCAGAAGGTCAGACTGCTTAGCTCACAACTCAATGTTCATTTCACTTTCAACTAAAGGGAAGGAAACAAACCTGCAAATTGGCTTTCTAGATTTTGTCTATGTTCTAATTCAATTTTTGTATCCTCCTCACCCCCCTCCCCCTCTCCTTTTTTTGATTTCTGGGGACCATCTTGATGCTCCTCATTTCAGAATTGTAAGCTGATCTTTATTAATAGAAGGTCCTTTTTTCAAAATATATATATATATATATATATATATACATAGTAGATAACTAGCAGTGGGGCCTCCACTTGAGATGCAACCCTAGCCCATCATGATGGATCGGTATGCCTCTGCTCCTCACTTGGCTGAACTAGTTGAGATGAACAAGTCAGCTCGGCCCTCCTGGTTAGCCCCACATCAATGCAGAGCTATCATGAGTCAAATGTAGGACTCAAATTAGGTAAGTTGGAAGCATTTTATTGTCGTAAACAAGTCACAGTGATGTGGGATATAGAATGACATCTCCTAAATTTAATGGGTCTTTGTAAAAGGAAATAACTTCTTGGAAAATGTGGTATGTTGTCAAAGCTAGTGAGTCGATATGCAAAATTCACTAGTGGATGGGTATTTTAGTTGAATTGGAGTTACTTAACACATGCTTATGCAATCATTATTATGGTCAGATAGTTAAATGGAAGTTAAGAACTTATTGACAAGGCCTTCCTACCTCATATGTTAGGCATTCAATCCTACCTCGAAAGGTTCTAAATATCACTGGAAGAAATCTTAGGGTCTTTCTATAGGTTTGATAGTGCTTCCCCGTCGCTTTGTGATAGTGACTAATAAAGGGCCAAATGTAAAAACCCTAACAATCGAAAGAAGATAACAATAAATCAACAACCAGGATGATAACATGAAAGTAGAAAAGAGATGACCTCCTAGGGTGCTCTACTATGATATAAATGAAGTGCTCAAGGCAACCTCATAGGAAGCATAGAACTAAAAGCACAAGGAGGAATTGAGCAAAAAAGTTAATGGCAATAACTTATTAGATCTTATTACTTCTAAGCACCATAAACATGAGTATATAAGAGACGATGTCAATAAATTAAGAATAGTCGGCAAAAAAGGTTGATTATCTCAAGAACTACAAATTTGGATATGAAATCGGATAAAATCACCCTTGAAGATTTAAATTATTTAGTTGTATTGCAATTAAAGCTTGTGTAAGGCAATGACCTAGGGGAGAGAAATTGTTGGCTAGGGGGCAACAACTGTTGTGCCACCTGATTGAATTACTATATGTGTCACATCTTCTCAGTTTTACTTTTTTTAACATATGGAAATGATAAAATTTGACTCGAGAAATAACATCAACAAATAGATAATCCTTTAAAGTCTAACAACACAAAAACAGATTTGGCATGATCTAATTTATTAAGGCATGCAAAAGGACGACATCCACATCACTTAGGAGATGAGGTTGCACAGATTTCAACTTAATAGAAAGGGAACTCAAAGGCTAACAAAGGATCCATCAAACTTACCAATGCAACATGTCTTTTTAAGAAAACGATAAAAAAAAAGTTTATGATAAGATAAGAAAGAGGCCAGACTAAGGGTGTAACTAAGCTGAGCCAGCTCATGAACCTACTCGAACTCGACTTGCTAACAAGCTCATGAGCCGAGCTTATCGAGTCACTAGCTTGTATATTAAACGAGCTTGAGTTCAAGTTCAATATGTCTCGACTTGTAGACTCCCAAATAGACTCAATATTTAATACAAATTCAATATATTAAATAAAAAACAATTTATCATGTTTAATATGAAGTAAGAGCTACATCTTTTTGGCCTAAAAGCTAAAAGTTCATTGTTAAAGCGTATCAAGTCATGTAGCTTAAAAAGTTAAAAGCTTTTTTATTTGAAAATTATTCCACTTCACGCAGCTACTAGGCAATTTTCTTGAACACCTACGTCCATGTAAAGTTGATCATGTTATCTCCTTGAACATCTCATCCATGTTGGTTTCAACATCTTTTCGACAAGCTTTGACCACGGCTTCCTCTGAGAAAATGCTTCCACATTGAGCTCTCGAGCCGAGCTTGAGCTTATAATACAAGCTCAACAAGAGCTCGAAGTTAAGTTTATTGTGACTCAAACTCAAAACGCTCATTAACAACCCTATAGGACAAATCAAGGAAATTCGAAGTCAACAAATTGGTGCCGAGATGAATGAATGGTGACTTAATATCAATGACTATGACAAGTGATTAGAAGTTGTCCCCTAGTGATGACTAGTCGAGATGCTCAAAACTTGCAAACTCGAACTTCATTTATTACATGAGTTTGATTTTAATGTTTTTTTAGTTGAAATCTTAATGACAACTAAGCTAGCAATTAGAAATGAATGGTTATATAATGTGCTTATAATTTAGTACATCTAGCTGGACTCTCTACCAAAATACATGAAAATTTTTATTTGATAGTAATTGTTTAGGTCACCCATACCTTCATAAAAGTACATCCTATCAATACTTGAGAACGATCTAAAACAAACTCTTTAAGCTTTAAAGTCCATATAGGTTTTCGAACCTGGACCATAAAAAAGTTCTCCAAACTCCACCCATCAATGTATTAAATTTATAGTCAGAAACCAGAATTTGAGACGAACCAATATTATCTCAGAAGATTCGAAAATGATAAGCTAACATGCCACAATTTAGTTTTACTTCGCAGATTAACTAGTAATTTAAACAAGGTGTGAAATTAACTTCAAGAAAAAATAAAAATAAAAATATTTAGAACAGATTTATGATCCATGTTTCAGAGATCAAATGCAATGGCGCTCAACCAAAATGGTGATATTTCTAAGTGTAGATGCTCAGCCGATTCACATAGCAAACTGACGAGAATTTTGATACAACAATTCATTGTTTCACAATGCAACGAAGTTGCAATTATTATACTGATTGGTACGTGACCCAGTGGAATTGTTCATTTCTTTCAATACAAATATTTAGAATAGAAAAAAAAAACATAAATTTTGGAAGTATGTTACAACATGCGAACAGCTAATATGGCAGCGCTGATTCAATAGTGAAGTGAATAGCAGCAATCCTTACAGACTTGATCTCACCTTCTGAATGAGCTCCCTCCTCAGGATTTTACCAGAAGCAGACTTGGGCACACTGTTCACAAATGTAACCCTCCTCAACCTCTTGAAAGGAGCTACCTGAGAAATTTGGTGTGAGGTGAGAGTTCATTTTCTCTGATTTCATGCGCTTCATGGTGAGAAAATCAACCATGACTTAGAGATGATGTTGTACTATAGAATTATGAACAAAATAATTCATTGTAAAATTTGGGACAATCTAGAACATATTAATGCACAGCCCACCGCTTGTCTTCTGGGGCAGTTGCTCCAATGGTTTTCTAGCCTATGATGACTTCTATGTTCGATCTGGCGGACAAATCTAATCTGTATGGGATGTTTGCATCTTTTTGGGTTCTGAATGAGATTATAGTTATCAAAAGTCTGACGCATATAGCAAAAAATTATATAGCATTGTATATATACAATTTTTTTCATATATAAACTTTTTTACTTTTCGAGGATTATAATACAAAATGAAGAATGACACTATAAAGACTTTCGGAAAATATATTTGTTAAATCATGAGACTTGCCTATCAGTTAGTTCTTTCCCACTTCTCCCTTAGTTCCCTCCCTCCCTCTCTCTCAATCCATCCTTCTACATCTATCTAACTCGTATTACGATTGAATGAAAGTATCATGGATTTCATTAAGATCATTTTTAATTTAATTTCTTCTATTTGCATAAAATCATGAATTTCCATTAGAAAGCCATGGTCTTATTATCTCTAGAATTAAAAATTAATTAATTTTCCTACCATCATTAGCTATAAATAATTATTTGTGATTAATAACCTGTTTTCCATAAAGTTTGCATTTAGATTTCACAAATTTACGTCTCTGAACCACAAACAGATCTGAAATAGAAATTCTAAAACTTCAGTAAAAGTACCTGATTAGCAATAAACTTTTGTACTTCAGGTTCTGTCAGCAAGCTGCTGGTGGAGCGAACAACATATGCTATAGGAACCTCACCAGCTTCATCATCAGGTAATCTGGGTTTGTATAAACAACCAATATTAATCAGTTTTGCTCCTGAACTGAATAGTTTCAACCAAATTCACAGTTTGATTTAGCAATAGAGTTTACAACTTACGGAATAACAACAGCATCCAATATATCAGGATGAGATAACAGCAGTCCCTCAAGTTCAGCAGGTGCAACCTAACATAATGTTTCAAGTGTTTTTTATGTGTACAGCTCACTTGTACAAAAGAAAAATAATTGGCAGCATTTCACGGATTTATAAAATTGATAAACTATGTAGCATGTATAGTCTTCATGTCCGCTATTCTTAAAATTGTAAAAAGAACCTGGATTTCAAATTTGATAAATATTAAGAAGAAAGATAATAACAATCCTATGGCTAGTATATAGTCGTTTCTCGAAATACTAAACTCTGTCAAGTTAGAGGTCGTTCTATCAAAGCCATTCTATTTACCAATTTCAGTATGAATAAGACCATCATGATGAAGGCAGTTAATAAATCTTTGAAAATGCTAGGATGCTTCGGGTAAATATAACAAGAGGGTGATGAATTAATGAGGCATAAAATTGGCAATTTGAGAACCACTTGGAGTATATTTTTACATATTACACCCTCTATTATCCAATAATAACTAACTATTCATTGAAGATCCAAATATAATGTCATTGATTAAATATATTTTTTTGGACAGCAGCATAGCCTTTATACTGTGCGCTTTCACAAATTCAGGTCTTGAATGGGTTGATTAATAATTGCATGATTAGAATTTTGGGCTAATTGATGTTTGATTGAATAAATTATTCGATTTTATAGGTCAAGCATTGTAGGAAAATGACTCCCGACACATTTCCAAATATCACTAGCTAGTCTCTCCTACGTGAAATGATTGGGACACCTTTCCAGCAAAACAAATAAGAGTTAGACCCAGCAGGGCTATCCAGGTCACTCCGGACTTTGAGCCTGTTTATTGCTCACCCAGTATTTGTATCTTAAGTTAGGTTGGTTGACATCTCAAACAACACATCTGGTTCATTTAAGAGCGAATCTCATCCCACATCCCAAGCATGAGATCTAAAGCCCACCTTTGAACTCCCGGCTAAAATGTTTGATGCTCTCCAGTGCATCATAGATTAATCAATCGATCTTCATAATTGCAGTGGCATACAGAAGGCATTATTTTTAAAACTTGTTTATGATCTGAATTTATTGTCGATGCAACAACAAAAAGCAGAAATAGTTATTTACATCCTTAGCACCATTTCAACCATTTCGTTTAATCCAAAAAAAAAACACATTTAACATATGCCATCCATCTTCACACAATTTAATTAGTACATAACATGAAATTATAAGGGCAGCATATAACTGCGGGCCGGGTTTTCAAAACTCCGCCGTACTGTTTGTTTCGCGCATCTTACTAACTTATCCAAAAACGCCGTTTTGCATTTGTGAAAGACAGCCCGCGGGAGGGTGCCTGCGATTCGCGTTTCCTTCGCGTCCAATTACTCCGCTGCCCTCGTTCGTTCGCATCTTCTTCGATAGCCGCTCCTCCCTCTTCTTAGGCAATCGACAGACCTCTTCTTTGACATAGGCGTTCTCTTCGGTAGCCGCTCCTCCCTCTTCTTTGGCTGCTTCCTCGGCATTTCTTCTTCGACATTTTCGTTTGTATCTTTTTTTTTTGCTCTACACTACAAATCAGAGCAATTTGTTAGAGAAAGTGTTGTTGTAAAATACAAAAGGGAAGAAGATACGTGAGTCGTGCTTCTTCCTCGGCATTTCTTCTTCCTCCTCCGATCGTTCGAGAACGAGGATTTTCCCTTGATATAGTCGGTTGAGCTGCAAGATTGATTTCTCCTTTCTTCGATTATTCAAGGGGAAGATTCTTCTCCTTCCTCTGGTTATTCAAGTCACAAAGATTTCTTTCTTTTCTCTCCTATCAAACCACAAGAAACTTCAATCGAGTGAACCTAAACCTGTATCTTTGTCTTAAGCCATGCAGTTTACTTTAGATTTTCTATTTTAGTTGGATTTGAGTTCAAATTTGTTGAAATTGTTACTTTTTTTGGGTTATATGAGTGAGGACATGCATTTTTCAAATTACAAGTGGTTAGTTGAGATATTACACTAGAATTTCTTAATTGAAATTTCTTTTCGTATATTGATTTACAAGAAACCTTGGAACAAATCCAAGTGTTATCTTTCCTTCTAGCCGAATTTTATTTGGATAGTATTTTTGTTCTTCTTGCTTGAGAGAGAAATGAGATTCACGATTTTGTTGGAGAGATTCTTGAAATACTAAATTTGAGAAAGTAAAATTAATCTTGTAAAGTCGAGATACTACATCTTGTGCAAGAATCATGCAGAAACCTTCCCCCAAATTTTCTAAAGCTAGTGTTGTAATTTTTTTTAAAAAGTACGGTTGTCAAAGTTTGCATCAACATTGATGTTATTAGATCTGAAAAAAATGTTTTATTAAAACTGAGCAGCCCCTATTTGATTAAAAAAAAAACCTCTTTTATGTTTTATTGGCTTTAGGTACTTAAGGGAAGACTCATCAAAATATTTTATGAATTAAATTTTGGTTTCATTGATGTGATCGGAAATATTTGGTTTCATTGATGTAAATGTGTTTCTTTGATGTGATCGGAAATATTTGAGTTATATAAATGTAACTAAACTCTTTTGTATTTTCATGTCTTAAAGTTTGAACTTCAATTTTGTTGAGAAAATAACAAATTCTGCTCGACAAATTGTTCATTTAACTAAAAAAGTCTATAAATAAGCTATTTATAAAACGCACAAACCAAACAGCTAAATAGCTTATACAGAACAGGGGCAAAATAGTCATTAATAGTCATTTATCCAGAATCCAAATGCACAAACCAAACAGTCAGCCAGCTTATCCAGATCAGCTGTTCATCAGTAGATTATCAGGATAAGCTGTTTATCAGTAGAAGCTAGATAAGCTGCAGCTGCCCCAGACAAATCCTAAATCATAAGTAAATTATGAGATAATCAACGAAAGATCATAAATTTCCCTAGTTCAACTATTTCCTTCAACTTGGAATGATGTAAGATAATACTCGGTAAATTGGACTTAAAAACGTCAATTATTGGCACAAGAAGTTTCCTAGCAAGTATAGAATGAATCAAACAGAGAAAAAAAGAGAGGAAAAAAAAACTGTAAAGAGAAACTTACGGGAATTTTACTAGAATTCAACAACAGAGTACAAGCAGATGTGGCCTAACCAACCATAATAGGTCAAGCTCAACCTCTGTTTGCCTTCTTATTTGTGGGTTTTGACCATGATTTAACATTATAGGAATGCCAACGTTTGAGTAATACAAAAATTATATGGTATATTTGCTATAAATATATATTGAAATCTTTCTACCAATAGTTTTCCATGTACCATAATAACTTTTGATGAGTTCCATGTTAAGATGAATTTACTATGGCAAACTCTACTGCGTTATAGTGTTTTCCTTGGGAAGATCAACAGATAGCAAGTTACTTTAGGTGAGTCCACGACTTTAATGATAGTTATGGCACACTATGAAAATGGGGTTTGAATTTTGTATTAAAATTTAAAAAATAAATTACATTGTTAAAATAGTCGTGATAACAAAAAATTATCAAATAAAAATGCATAAAATGTAAAGCGCATAAAGTCAATTTTTATATTGTTTAAACACTGCCTATGTCCATCCACTAAGAGACTCTACAATCCAAGAAAAACTTTCATATTGAAGTGAGTGGAAAAACTTTCACAACCAAAATTCACAAAACAAAATAAAATATGTTTATAATACACAATTAAAGCAGAAAATAAAATAAAATCCAAAATTTGTTAATTTAGGTAAATCTTAAATCAGATATGCCGCTGGCAACAGCTATTAATAATTCAAATCTATTTAATTTTTGGGTTAAAAGTATTTCCAGCAAATGAAAAATGATCTTAATTTATTAGATTGAAATGAAAATATCACACACAATGGGACGCAATGGAGAAAATGGATTTATGTAGCCGACCCCACTAAGTGGAATAAAGGCTTGTTGTTGTTGTTTTTGGAGTGTTTCCAGCAAAATGAATAGTAAAAACTTGAAGATTATTGACAAAATAATGAATATAGAATTTGATTGAGGCATCAACATGGCAAAATCACAAACCCGTAAACTAATATGTAATTATAACTCAAGATGCTCTTTCAGGTCTAGTGGAATAGAAATCAAAATGTATTACAGAGCATTTTTCAAATTATGAAATTAAATAGCATTCTTTTAGAAAAATTAAACTTAATGAAAATGAATAATAACAATGATTTTTATACACAAAATAAGTTGAATTTAATGGAATTAAAATTAGGTCAATTTTGTAATATAAAATGCATAAATTTAAGACATAGATTAAATAATCATTTTCAATTATTATAAAGGGTGTTATAATTCGCCTAAAAATTTATAACAAGCTCTAAATTCAAAAAAAAAATATTTATTCTTATAGTTATAATACATATATATTATAAATACCCATTACAGGATTTACAAGGAAACAAATGAAACCAGAATAAAGGAAAAAAGAAAAGTAAATCAAAACAATTACTACAAAATTCTGCATATTAATATTCAAGTATTATAATACTCCTTCTCAAGTAGAAATGTAAATGTCAGTCATGAATTTGAAATCTTTGAAATCATCGAAGAGTAGTCAAAGAAGATTCTTTGGGAAAATATATCCCAGTTGGCCACTATATGGCACAAACGGAACACAAATTTCCCTGGGCTCGAGTTTTTTCATAAATGAAGTGATGGTCAATCTCAACATGCTTGATGCGATCATGTTGGACCGGGTTGCGAGCAATAATAATGGCAAACTTATTATCATAGAACAACTGTAGGGTAGCGGCGATTATCATACGTAGTTCATAAAGTATGATGCATAAAAAGAGAGATTCATAAATTCCCAGGGACATGAACTAAAATTCAGCTTCCACATTGCTCCAAGCACCTACAGATTGATTCTTGCTTTTCCGTGTGACTAGGTTTCACCATACAAATGAGCAGTAACCCAAGGTAAATTGCCGATCATGGACAGATCCGACCCAATCCGTGTTTGTGTAAACTGCAATAGAATGAGAAGTATGGCGTGAAAAAAAACAAATATGATCTCGGTGT